ACCCTACTCTTTCTTTTTTTTAATCTGTAAGTATTCTTTACTTCCATTAATATTTTTGGAGGCATATTTTGCACTGAAATGTATCAAAGTTGTATTAGAAATATTTCTAATTTGCTACAATTCAGTGTCCTCCATATCTTTCTCTAGCAATGAGATTAGTAACCTAATACTATGAACATACTGGGAACCCATCGTAGGAATGCTTATTTTCCCAGAAAAAAATCTTTTTATTGATGTTGCTGTGGAAGAAATGAAGGTAATAATAAAATCTTGGCTAGTGGGCTTACTATTTACAAAGCTGCAGTAATAACAATTGTGTACGAATACTTATAGTATTTTCTAATATCAGCAGCACATCTCTACACAGTAATTCATCTTTCCTAATGACAGCTTTATGAAGGAGACAGGTATTGTTCTCTGTGACTAAGTGAAGTAACTTAGACAGAATGATAGATATTCTATCATATGATATAACTAACTTATAAGTGGAATCTAAAAGAATAATACAAATGCACTTATTTACAAACTGGAAACAGACTCAGAAAACAAACTTATGGTTACAAAAGTGGAAATGGGGGTGGGGATAAATTAGGAGTGTGGGACTAACAGATGCACACTACTGTGGCAGATGGGTTCATTACCACTAGCATCACCTGGGAAGCCCAACTTACAGAATACCAATTCTTAACTCCTTATAGAAATGTTTCCAAGTCTATGACTGAAGCTCTAGTAAAAAGAAATATAAATGTAAGACTACATAGAAGGGGAAAAGAGAATCGCAAAATCTAAAACTTGCCAAGAAATTAAGAGGTTATTTTTCTCTGCCATCTACTGCTAGAGTTCTTATTATAGTTTCTCTAAAAAATCATGTAATTATTTTTTGAAGACCTCCAATGACAAACTCACTGTCACACAACGTATTTTCCTGTTTATTTGCTAAGTCATGTCCGACTCTTGTGACCCATGAACTGTAGCCCACCAAACTCCTCTGTACATGTGATTTTCCAGGCAAGAATACTAAAGTGGGTTGTCACTTCCTTCTTCAGGGGATCTTCCTGACCCAGGGATCTAACTCACACCTCCTGCATTGGCAGGCGGATTCTTTACCAGGTATATTACTCTACAGTTATAATCTCTGAATTTCTAGTAAATTACTTAAAGTTAGGCAAAAATCTAACTTACAGCTAGATTGCTTGAGAAATCCAGGCAACTGAAGTCCCTTTATCTAGACTGTCTTTGAAAAAGCTAAAGGTTGTGTTTTGAGTCTCTCTTCTTTCTTGTTTTGAGACAGCACTGTATCCTGTATCCTGCTTATTTTGGTCAGTTTCCCTAGGTCCTGATCCTGCACAGGGGGACTAGTAATGACCCAGAGACCCAGTAATCCCACTCCTGGACATATACCTAGATTAAGCCATAATTCAAAAAGACACATGCACCCTTATATTCACAGCAATGACTATTTACAATAGCCAGGACATGGAAGCAACCTAAATGTCCATCAAGAGATGAATAAGTAAAGAAGATGTGATACATATAAACAAAACACCATTGCTCAGACATAAAAAAGAAATGGAATTGGGTAATAGGTAGATGTGTATGGACCTAGAGTCTGTCATACAGAGTGAAATATCAGGAAAACAAATATCATATACTAATACATGTACGTTTAATGCAGAAAAATGGTACAGATGAACCTATCTGTAGGGCAGGAGCAGAGACTCAGATGTAGAGGATGGACTGGTGGACGCAGGGGCGGGAGGGAGGGTGGGAAGAGCTGAGCGAGTAGCACTGAGATGTGACCAGTGGAATCCTGCCGTGTGGCCCGGGGAGCCCAGCTGGGTTGTCTCTGACCCGGAGGGCTGGGATTGCGGGATGAGAGGCAGGGCCCACAGGAAAAGGATGTATGTGTGCACGCATTCCATTCATTTTGTTGTACTGTAAAGCTGCTATGCCTCAGCTAGAAAAAAGAATGAATGAACGAGCACACATCTTAGTGGTTTCTCTGTAGGAGAAAGAGATGGCAGGAAATGTCTAGCATCCTGAATCACTGAGTCTTCCAGCACTACCTATTTCAACAAGAGTTTCCTAGAACCTTGGGGTGGGAGGAGGTGGAGGTGGGGAATAGCAATTCTCTGAAACTGAGTGAGGGGAGGGCGAACACTCTTATTACTAACCACAGCTTGGAAATCCATTTCCCATATATTAGACTGATCTGTAAGCCTTTACACCAACCCTGGGATTTAAGCTTAAGCCAACAAACACAGCATGCATATCTCCTTGTTTCCAGCATTTAGCCAGGGTTTCAAGCATGTAAATGCCTTTCGGGTAGGTAGAGCTTTCAGTGAAGTGAGGCTTTAGAGTATAAGAAAACAGAGGTTAAGACAGAATTCATGAATGCCTTCCAACCAACAAGGACCTACTATATAGCACAGGGTTAGTATAACCAATAAGGTAAAAGAATGTGAATATAATAGATAATGTATAGCACAGGGAACTATACTCAATATTTTATAATAACCTATAAGGGAAAAGAATCTGAAAATAATAGATATGTATATGTAACTGGGCCTCTCTGGTGCCTCAGAGAGTAAGAATCCGCCTGCAGTGCAGGAAACCCAGGTTCAGTCTCTGAGTCAGGCAGATCCTCTGGAGAAGGGAGTGGCTGCCCACTCCAGTGTTCCTGCCTGGAGATTCCTGCGGATAGAGGAGACTGATGGGCTACAGTCCATGGGGTCTCAAAGAGCCAGACATGACTAAGGGACTAACAAATGAATTATAGAAAACTGTTTCATATATAACTGAATCACTATGTTGGACGCCTGAAACTAACACAACATTGTAAACCACATACAATTCAGTTATAAACAAGAATGTCTTCCAGTTAAGTTTATTTAAAATGTGCTGCTTTTCATGCAATTTATTTAAAATATATATATATATATATATGTAACATTTTTAATTTATCCCTTAGACTTCAGACTACCTACTCGACTTCAGGAGGAAAGACTGAAACCCAGCTCTTCTCACTGTGGCATTTTAAGCAAGTTATTGAAGGTCTGTCTACAGGCCTAGGGCTTCCCTGGTAGCTCAGTGGTAAACCCTCAGACAGAGGCGTCTGGTGAGCTGCAGTTTAGGGGGTCACAAGAGAGCTGGATTTGACTTAGTGACTAAACAACAAATAACAACTATATGCATTAGATTCTACAAACCTAAGATACTGATTATATTAATACCATGAATCACACAGGATTATTGTGAGGCTTAAGTGCTTTTTACATTAATTAGAATTGTGCCAAGGTGTACAGTTTATATATATATATACATATATATATATATATATATATATATATAATAGAGTATACAAAGTAATAGATATGTAATCTGATATAGTTATTTTTGATATGCATTATCTGTATCCATAAGAAAGAGTATCTGAGCAGGTACTAATGTGCCCGTAGAACCATAGCCAAAAGATGCTTTGGAGGAAATCTTTCATCTCAGTTCTCTGTAACCATCTGGCTATAATTCAATCACATCAGAGGAGAATGATCTAGTTTAGAGGAAAGATTACTGACTATCCAGAGACCCGGCATCTGGTCCCAGTTGTCATGAATTAGCTGGCTGGTCTAACTCATGGTTAATCAGTTAATCCATGCTCCGTGTCCTCAGCCAGCCTTACTGACCTTACAGAGATATTATAGTGGCAAGATTAAAAAACTGGCATGTTGCTATAATGGTGCTAATCATATAAAACCTGTTAATAAATAAGATGTCTAATAACACGTGATGTTTTCCTTTCCTCTTGCAGAGTCTCTTAAGAGACTTGGTTGGCCATTCATTATCCCTATTTCTCTCTTTTTTCTTCCCTTCCATGTTGCTTTTAGAATGAATGAGTTCTTTAGAGTTAGCCGTTGTTACTGCTATTGTAAATCAGGCCTGATTCAAACCATGGTCTGAACATTATTCTTAATTTTCTATGTCATAAAAAGCTGGAAAGCAAGATGATACACAGAAGAATAAATGCAAGGAAAATAAAGGAAGAGAAATTTCTAGAGTTTCCATCTAAGGTCTAAAGAGGGCACAGAGTATACCCCTGGCTTCCTGTATGCCACCACCCCCACCCCCAGAGTCCATCCCTGTGATGGGTGGTCAAAAAGCCCAAACTCATCTCCCTATACTGCAGGTTACAAGAGAAGAAAGACATTCTTGACCATAAGAAAGAGTTCTTGAGAACACAATATATGGTTCTCCACCTCTGCCCTGTTGGACTGTTCTAACCATTCTCTAGGATTTTGATCTCAAAGTATCCTTGGCCATGACTGCATAAATGATTCTCATCACTGCAGGGTGGAATTAAGTCATATGAGGAGGGAACCTGGCTTCTGCTAGCAGACATCAAAATGTTCAATGTTGATGTCCATCAACATTCCTTGAATGAACTGGATTCTCATCCCTTTATTCTTCTAATCTTTGCATATTTCATTTTGCCACATTCTTTCCAACACCTGATTCCTGGCACCCAGCCCCATACTGCACAAGGTTATGACTCACTTATATCGCTTCTCTTTAATACCGAGGCAATCACCATCTATTAATACAGCCTGCATTTTTGCCAATTGTTTTAACAGCCCTCAGTAAAGGATCCTGCAGCATAGAGGACAGGCTATATGTGATACGTGTCCTTCTGAAATTTAGACATGCTGATGATCTCCTTTATTCTTAATGGATTCCAGCACAGAATAAATAATAAAGAATGACTGCTACATAATTAAAGTAAATTAAAATCAATACGTTTGCAACTTCAGCAGCGAATTGACACGGGACCTGAGTACCAGTGAAACTCATTAGGGAAAGCACAACCAAAGGTTGGTCTGGAGATCTGGAGATAAGCTGCCCAGTGGGACCAAACTAAAACTGAAATTATGCAGCGCTCTGGAGGGCATGCACTGGCCCTCCAGTCCAGAAGGACACTCCACGGGCTTTATGCAATCGGAACTCACCATTCTCGCAGAGCAGGACAGCCAGGAAGTCCTGAGAAGAAGAATTGATATACAGCAAGAGGCTGGGTGCCTGGGCTGTCACAAAGCTCAATGCAATGTTTTCTTTGGCTAGGGCTGCATCCACGTAAATCGCTGAGGAAGAGAGGCTCACATTCTTGGTCACTGGGTAGGGTTCTTGAAACATGTAAGTCACTGAAGTGCCAGCCTCAAAAACAGCAGAAACCTCTGCAAAACATCAGAGAGGAAAGCACACATTGAAACATTCAGGAGACCCATCATTGCTTGTTTACTGTTCATTTCTACACATCGGTCACTGTGTGAAGATAACATGAATTATAGACTATGCTTCCTACAATAATTTTAAACCGGCAGAAATCATCATTCCTATTTACAAAGGAGAAACATGAGGCTTGTTGGGGTTAAGCACCTTGAACAAGGTTGCACAGCTAGAAGAGACAGCTCAGATGTGCACCGTGAAATGTGGGTCCAGTTTCACATATATTTGCAGAATAACTACCATGTGCCAGGCTGATTTCTTTAGAAACAAAGATGAGATGTCCCTACCTACTGCACAGTAGGAAGAAATTGCCTTGGGGTTATCTTCCCTTCAAAACTGAAATCCTTACAATTTTTATGTTTTTCTCGTGGGTCAGGAGGATGTTGAGTGGGCACAAAACTACTGAGAGTAGGATCCTGGGAGAGAAAGCAATTCTCTGTGGTATTGCATTAAGGGTGAGGACCAACAGAAATGGAGGCGGGGAAGGCTGTGGAAACAGTAGGAGAGGCACAGGTATCCAACTCCTGGATCAATTATTTTATTTTACTTATTTCAGTGAAGCACAGTTGATTTACAATATTGTGTTAGTTTCAGGTGTACTGCAGTGATTCCGTTATACATACATGTGCATCTATTCTTTTCAAATTCTTTTCCCTTATAGGTTTTTACAAAATATTGAGTATAGTTCCCTGATATGTAATAGGTCTTTTTTGGTTAAAGGAAAACATGCAAATCTACATCTATATTACATGATTAATTTCTCTTTTTCCTGAATGATAGGTTGACTATCCCCATGAAGTTCTCTGATTGAATTGGTGGCACCTAAAACATAATCAACCTGGCTTTGCGTCCTAATTCCATTGCAGATTTGTTCTACTTTTGTGAAACTTCTATAGTAGTTTGTAATGGTGTCAAAAGAAAATTAAAGTGGCATATTTATGCATATTGCTTAGCAGGTTGGGAATACCAGTTCCTTTTTCACTAAAAGTTCAAGAGAAAGTGTTCTGTATTTCTCATGCAGATTAGAAGAGCATCAGTACTCCTCATTACAGAGACATTCACAGACACTGGTCGCTGGGAGGGTTCTAGCTGGTCATCAGCTTCACTCAAGCACGTTTCTTCTTCTTGTTTTCAAGCCCTTTTCATAAAGTGACTCTTTTCAGGGACATGTGGCCTGCATTTTGACCTACTATCTCCTACTTAAAAGAGTAATGGCCTTTATGGGATGTTTGTGTGTGTGTTCAAATATAAGTATAATTCAGATCATTCTGTATATTAAATACTAAGTATATTAAATGCACATTCGTATTACATTTTTCTTTACACTTAGGACAGTAAATTAAAATGAAAAACACTTTTAAAACTAGAGTTGTCTTGTCAAATTTCTGTCTTTCCTCCTCCCCTAGCCTCAGTTATAATTATTTTTATTACTTAGACATTGTGAATTTCAACTTAAATTCAGCAAAACACATGAATTTGATTTATTCTCTGTTTCTTTTCTTTTATAATCTAAGAGTTTGAGCTCTCTGATCATATTTAAGCCCTCTGATTAATCTGAACATCTGAAACCATTGGGCTAAATGGCAGAAAAATCTTCACTTGAAGGTGATTATTATTAATAATCATCATAAAACTCCAGGATCACAACAACCAACATTAGCAACATCCTTTCAGCACCTACCTCATTGAAAGAACTGTGCCAATTAGATTTTGAGAAGACAGGACACATGAGAAAGAAATAAGACTGGTGGGACGTGGCCTTGGATGTGATGTGTGAATGACAAAGACGGTGAATCCCAGAGGGGGATCCTTCTGTGGTCAGGAGCAGCCTGAGAAGACTTGGAAGAGGAGCTTGGTAATGACTAGGTCTGAAAATGTGTAAGGGATTCAGAGGCGGTGCTGGGAGACCAGGTGACGCTGCTGAGGACTTGTGCCCTGGTAGCCTCAGAGCAGACTAACCTGCGCCTGGACCCTGCTATGGCCTTCTCCTGCTCTCTCAAGTGACTCTCTCAAGCTCCAGCTAACACAGACAGGAATGAATTCAGTCTCATGGAGAGGAGAAGGGTTGGAGAAAGGATGGAAAGGAACAGCACACAGCAGGAACTCAGTAAACAACTGGTCTTAATAATAAAAGTAGATTCAGAATTAGAGTAAGTATAAAGATTAGGCCTTAATGAATAGGCTAGCAGTTCTATAGGCTCAGTCAGGCTGTACTTGATTTAGAAAAACTTCAAACAAACTGAAAATAAATGAAAGAAATGAAAATTTGAATGCTGAGTGGATATTTCACACTATTCAAAAATCATGAAATTTTTCTTATTAATACCAGTCTTGTGGATACATGTTTTTATGAGTTCTTATCTTTTAACAATACATATCATAATATTTACAGAAGAACTTATATGATACCTGGAATTTGCTTCACTATAATAAAAGAGGAGGAGGGATGATAGCCTATAGATTAAATAAAAATAATCATGAGTTAATAACAGTTGAAGCTAAGTGAGGGATGAATGGAAGTTCTGAAACCTTTCTCTCTATTGCAGTACATAATTTAATTTTTCTGCAATAAAAAGTAAAAAAAATAATATAAGTTGGCAGAAAGGTAAATATCATATCATTTTTTCAATAAGTTTTTGACAATTGTTAAATTACTAAATATATGTATACCATTTTTCACTGAAATTCCATTAATAAGGGAATAATCAATACATATGCTTATCATAGCATTATTTATGTACAAAATTTGGGGTAATCTAAAATTCCCAAATAATGATACAGGCAATTTACTGACACTTTATATGCCAGGCATGACCTCAATTGCTATGTGAAGTGCTTGTTAAATTTCCACGACAGACTTTCATGTAGAATTTCTAAATTTTTAACATATTACAGGTGACAAGACCATGGAATCATGAGGTTGAATTACACAAACAGCATCACACAGTGTAGACTATAGATGAGCCAGAATCTGAACACAGGCAGGTCTGGTACTGGAGTCCTACTATCGCTTCACTAAAATGCGCCAGTGATCGAATGGGTTAAATACACAGAAGCAATTCCACCAGATGGAATATACTGCAATCATTAAAACTGAATTATATAGGAATGCTTATTAAAAACATTAGATAATATATTTGGAATTCTATTTGAAAATATACTCAGAAATCTAGAAAAATAAAAACCAATCTAATCATTCAAAAACAACTACCAAAAAGAAAATCCAATTTTCTTGTAGTTCTTTTCTTTGCCTTTAGTGTAGCTGAGAAATTCTGTCTATTCCATTTTATTAATATATTATGGAGTGCTAACGGTTGTGTAACTTTGTAAATATATTAAAAAAAAACTGAATTGCACATTTTAGAAGCATAAATTTTAGGTATGTAAATTACATCTCAATAATAAAAAAAAAGAGAAATACATAAACAAAACAATAAAAAAAACCTTATGTATTTGAATCCTATTACCACATTCTTGTTCAGGATGAAATTAGGGTCAAAAAGTGTAAGTCACTAAACCAATATGACTGTCAGAGTTCTCACGTGTTAAATGCAATATTACTTCTTCCTTCAAACCTTGGGCATAAGGAATAAATGCTGCAGTCCATAAGTACTAGCTAATTTGTGATTATTACTTGTTTATATCCAGATCAGAAACATAAAGTGGGTCAATAGGTGGTGGTTCTAGACCAGTCACTGGTCATGGACAAATGTCCTTAATTCCACACTAGGTATTTACAAGATTTGCATCCCCTAAAATATACATGGAAGGCTAGCATAGAAACCTCCCCCAATAGAGAACAGCCTTGTCTGGGACCATCTTGGAGCTAAGGGTTCCCATTTCAGTCCAAAGCCACACTTCCCAGAGTCAAGTGCCATGGCTCAAAGATGCGGTTAAAAGGTTCATCTTACATACTTTGCAACTGCAGACTACAAAGGGAATTATTTCCTGAGATTTATGAGATGGGGAGAAAGTTCACAAACAGTGAAATATGAAGCAAGCTGAAAAGGCTAAGTACATATTTGTCCATTTTTCTTATAGATCACACTAAAACGTGGGGAGAGAGCACAGCAGATATTTCAAGAAATACAGTCAAAAGATGCAGTGGCATGGACAGAAGATAATGAATAGGAGTTTTTTCAGAGAAAGGAGCCAATGGGAAATTAGGCTAAATTTAGAGTGAGATGATCTATGAAATGTTTGAAAAATGTCTCTGGAGAAATGCATAGAGTTCTATAATATTTCTTCATATTTTATTTTTTCCCAAACAAACACTTGGTTATAGATCTTGTAAAATAATGCTAGCAGGTTTTAGGGACTTGGACTTGAGGGTGTTTATTCTGCATTTGCTTCTTCTAGCATGTAGAGCCAGTCTAAGGGTGGCATTACAAATTTCAGGGGAGATTATTCCAGAGACTTCCACCAATGTTAAAACCCAGGAGCTCACATGAACAGCCTACCAACACAGGACCTGCTTTAGTTCAATCTTCCATGCAGGCCTGCCACTCTGCTGGCCCTAAAATTTGTACCAGTAATTTTCTCCCAAGGAGCACAGTGTTTTCCAGCAACAACAAGCAAATGATGCTAACTGACTAGGGAGGAGGCCAGCATCAATGAATGAAGAGCTTAAATTACAGTCTTTTAAAGAGAACATTGAGTGTTGTGGTGGTGGTTGTTGTTTTCCTATTAATTTTAAATTCTAAGAGTAAGTTGAATGAAATAAAACATTGTTTGTTAGTGGTGCTTGAAAGATGTGTTTTCATGAACCGACAAGAATTATTTGTAATTCCTATCATTGTTTGTATGTAAATGGTGTTTCAAAGTGATTAAAACATTTTATTTTAATAGTTTAAATGCTGCTCTTGAACTAATGTTTACATTATTTGTCCAAAAATCTTTATTTTCCATCAATAGAATAAACTTTAGAAGATTCTGCAAAGATTGACAGTAGACCAAATTGTCTGTCCTTCTAGTTGAAAAACACTAGGTATTGATACTGAATTGTGAATTTTTATAGTTTGTAGTCAGATTTAATTTCTCTAGAGAATTTACGCCATAAGCATCATTCCTTGTTCAAGTGTGTGTATCCAACATGATTAGCTTTAGTCATTGAAATTAATTTAGGCACTAGGGCAGGGGTTTTGACCCCTGTGCCCCATTCTTGGCCCCCTTGGAGCTAAATGTGAATCTTTGGGCAAGGCTTTTAAAGCCTCAGACCCCACTCACATCACCTGCAGAACTGAGAGATTTTATTTTTTTAAATACATGATATGGATGTTATTAACTTACCTCTACTCTCTCTATTGGAAAAATGATTCATGATGGCTTCAACGTCTCTAAAGGTTTTCCAGGGCAGACTCTATGATTATTTGATCACATTTGTGGATGAAGAAATTGGAATTAGGGAAGTTAGCACAACAGAAATGACAGTCCACCTCTCCCAGGGCTGAGCTGGCTCTAGGCCACATCAAGCGTGCTCTCCTGTTACTATCTACGCTACTCAACTGAACTGCCCATAACCACACACCTGCTGCTGCTGCTGAGTCGCTTCAGTCGGGTCCGACTCTGTGCGACCCCAGAGACGGCAGCCCACCAGGCTCCCCCGTCCCTGGGATTCTCCAGGCAAGAACACTGGAGTGGGTTGCCATTTCCTTCTTCCTCCGTCCTCTACTAACTGCTGCTGCTGCTGAGTCGCTTCAGTCGTGTCCGACTCTGTGCGGCCCATGGACAGCAGCCCACCAGGCTCCCCCGTCCCTGGGATTCTCCAGGCAAGAACACTGGAGTGGGTTGCCATTTCCTTCTCCAATGCATGCATGCATGCTAAGTCACTTCAGCCGTGTCCGACTCTGTGCGACCCCATGGACTGTAGCCCACCAGGCCCCTCTGTCCACGGATTCTCTAGGCAAGAACACTGGAGTGGGTTGCCATTTCCTTCTCCACCGCACACATGAAGGATGTGCATATGTAATTATGTTGAGAAGCAATCCAGAGAGTCTGCAGAGAGGGAAATAGAGGGAGAGTCAATGAATGTTTGAGGACTCTCTAAGGGCACGAGTTTCCTGTGACATGACTGCAATCTGTAGGCAGTAAAACACAGCCTGTGGGGAAAACGTAGATTTCTACTGTACCTTTCTTGCAAAAGGGCCCTTCATATGGTGAACTGGCGCAATCGCAGAAGTATCCACTGTGCTTCTCCACACACTCGCCCCCATTGTGGCAGATGCTGCCGTAACTGCTGCAGTGGCCCGGGCATCCCGGCCGAGCTCCAGAGGCGGCCTTCGCCCTCTCCTCCAGGTCCAGCTTTTGCCCATTCAAGTGTAAGGAGCGTATGCATCCTAGGAAGCCTTTCTGTCTTGATGATGTTCCCCCTGAGCGGTGAAAATAAAAGGAGAAAAAATATAAGGTACAGTGCTCACATTTTTGAGGTTTAATATCCCCAAACTGATAATAGTTAATTAATAATCTGTTGGCATGATGTATTGGACTTTTCTATTAAAGTTTCCAGTGGGAAAAAAATAAATAACTAAAGTTTCCAGATTAGGAATTCAAAGAACCTGGGGAAAAGGGCATGTGTTTCCAGGCTGGAAAAAGTACTCTCCCACTCAATAAATAAATAAATACAATACAAAACTATGGTTCATGTGGAATCTTCCACTTGACATGTTTAACATAGAAACTTCAGATGACTGGGCTCCTTGCAAATGAAATAAAATGTATTCTTCCTCTAAAGTGATGTGAAAGTTACTCACTTGTGTCTGGCTCTTTGTGACCCCATGGACTATACAGTCCATGGAATTCACCCGGCCAAAATACTGGAGTGGGAAGCCTTTCCCTTCTCCAGGGGATCTTCCCAACCCAGGGATTGAACCCAGGTCTCCCGCATTGCAGGAGGATTCTTCACCAGCTGAGCCACAGGGAAGCCCCACTCTTTGTATACAGCAGACACTTACCTGAGGTGAATGCACAGAGTGGGGCTGTCCCTCTGGCAATGTCAGAAGCAAGCTGTTTGGTGCACTGAGTTAGAAAACGCAACAAGCTTTGTAAAGCTCGGGCTTTCCCGCTGGCTCAAAGGGTAAAGAATCTGCCTGCAGTGCAGAGACCTGGCTCTGGTCTCTGGGGGAGGAAGATCCCCCGGAGGAGGGCATGGCTACCACTCCAGTATTCTTGCTTGGAGAATTCCATGGATAGAAGAGCCTGGTAGGCTACAGTCCATGGGGTCACAGAGTCAGGCACGACCAAGCAACTTTCACTTTGGAAAGCTTATGCAGCACTGTGTCAAGCACTATAAAGAGATGGATGTTAGGACCAGACAGACATGGCATCAAACTCCATGCCAATAGCCATTAGACCTAATGACCATAATGACCACATAATGACTGAATCCCCTAAGCCTCAGCTCCTTCATCTCTAAAATTAGAATCAGTCTATTTCATGTGTTTATGTACAAGGCTTAGTTAAGATTATGGAATATGCTTCATCCTTAATCATTGTTCTTTTCTCTTGAGCCTCACAATGATTAGAACTAGTAGTCTATATGTGTGTGCATGCATGTATGTGTACATATATCTCCCAGTGATTACCCCCAAATCATTATTTGGAAAATAAATTTCTTCCTCTGGAATGCAGAAAAGAATTGCAACCCAGCTGTCTCCTGAGGGTACATCTTGAAAGCTTCAGAAAGAGTTGCAACGCTTTTTGCAAATTAATCAGGAACAGAGGAGATTCAAAGTGACAGAGTGTTTAGTCACTGTTGGAAACCTAGAATTCTACCAACCTAAACCAGAGGATATTAGAAAAATGTGTGCAGAGAGACAATAAGCCAAGAATTAAGCCAAATTTCATCAGTAGATATTGATCTGGTGTCGGGAATTCTGGGAGAGTTCAGAGAGGATACAGAGTGAACCTGTCCATACAAAACACAAATTCTATTTCAAATTCAATGCTTTGGCCTAAAGCCCATAGAAGTGGAAAAATGGAGGACACATTGAAGTCTCCAAGGTCTACAGAGTGTCCTAATGGAGAAAAGGCAAGTTGGAAAACAATGGCAGTAATGAGGTGGTATTTGTATATTGTATAAATCATCTCTCCTTTCTGAGCCTCATTTATTTGTAGTCATCCATGCTATAATTTTATTAAATCCTGGTCCAGCAAATGACCGGATAAAAATATATTCATATCAAAGTGGATACAAATGTGAATTCTAAATATGTTATCTCTGACCAGGAATATCACAATAAATAAGAAACAAAGCTGTAAGTTAGATAAATGAATATATAATGTGGAAAAAAAATCTGTCAGCCTGGCAGGGTGGACAAGATGTTAATTAGCAATAGGGTTGAGGGACTTCCCTGGTGGTTCAGTGGCTGAGGCTCCCAGCTCCCAATCAGGGATACAGGGTTCAATCCCAGGTCAAGGAACTAGTTTCCACATATTGCAACTAAGACCTGGTGCAGCTATATAAACAAATAAAAATAAACACATAAAAAAGATTTTCAAAAAGCAAAAGAGTTGGAAGTGAGGAGAATTCTGCCATCTCTCAATCACACCAGGCTATCAGATCCATAAATATATGTACAGTATCCACTGGCTGCCTCTGCAAGATTGAGACAAAAATGTTTCTAAAGAATTAATCTAGTGTTTTATTCTGAAGAAGTGATAGAACGCCACTGTTTTCAGTTCTGATAAGTGATACCCAAGCAGGCCAGAAGGTCAAACCCAAACTGTTTTCTCCTGTCTGTCTCAATTTTAGTGAGTAAATCTCCTTTTAACCACAAGATAAATCAATTATAAACAGAAGCAGATCATGAAGAAAGGTTCATCATTTCTTTCCTAGAGATGGTGTAGAATAAAAAGAGGAAAATTTATGTAGGCAAATGTTTTATTTTATTTTTCCCCTTATTTTGTAGTCACTCCCTGTGGCGGATTGTATAACTCTTCATATATCTTGGTAGTGGCATTTTTCTTCTAAGCAGAGGTGGAGAATGCAGGATCTATTACACATTTGCTTGTGTGTGACTTAGTCAACACATTTATAAATGAAGAAGTGACTAGGGTGGTGTTTCTAGCAGAAATACACTCCTTGGTGTTTGAGACATATAAAGGATGGTGAGAATGACCCCAAATAAGAGGGTCATTTCAATTGCACATGCTAGTAAAACACAATGACACAATGAATATGAACCAAATTGTGCAATGAATTAAATTTTCATTTTTGCCTCGCTGGTTTTTATTCTTTAAGAAGGAGAAAAACTAGAGGTTAGGCTCCTTTTTCTTATGGAGAGGTAATATTGTAGACTAAGAATAGAGTGCTTCGAGAAAGATGCTCCCCACCCACACAGTCATGCCCAATCAGGTGGTAAGCACGCTCCCTTTTCTGACAAGGTCACCTGTTTTGCATTGTGTTGGTGGAGGTGTGAATCTTCCCTGAAACTTGAATACTGTACAGAAAATGCTGCCACGATCTTCACTCCCCTTTCTCACTCACAGTCCTCCCTCAGTCCTGTCCTATTCATCTGCACCCTTAATTATCTTTGGATCCATCAGCCTCTCTCCACACTAAGAGCCACAGTCTTGAATTTGTCTCACCCTTGCTTCAATTCCTCAAACTGAGAAAAGCCGGGACCTGGGATGATCACTTGCTGCAGTGCTTGCACCTGGAGAAATGTTTCCTGAAGCAACAAAGTACGAAGAAACTTCAAGGGACTGAAAATAACTGTGTGTGTTCACAACTGGGGCAAATGACGGATGTGGCTGTGTGCTCAGTTGCTCATTGGGTCTGACTATTTGTGACCCCATGCACTATAGCCCAGCAAGCTTCTCTGTCCACAGGATTCTCCAGGCAAGAATAATGAAATGGGTTGCCACTTCCCACTCCAAATTTATGGACAACAAGATACAACAAAACCAAAAGAACCCAACTGCCACTTCTGAAGAATTAGAACAGGGTACTGTGCATGCCTCCTGCACACAACACCATCTATTCAGTTCAGTCACTCCACTGTGTCTGATTCTTTGTGACCCCATGGACTGCAGCACGTCAGGCTTCCCTGTCCTTACTGTCTCCCAGAGTTTGCTCAAACTCATGTCCATTGAGTCAATGATGCATCCAACCATCTCATCCTCGGTCACCCCCTTCTCCTCTTGCCCTCAGTATTTCCCAGAATCAAGGGCTTTTCCTATGAGTCATCTCTTGGCATCAAGAGGAAAAGTACTGGAGCTTCAGCTTCAGCCTCAGTCCTCAGTGAATGTTCAGGACTGATTCCACCTAAGCCATCCCTCTGGCCTGACTCCTGGACCTGCCCCTCCCCTCACCCCACATAGGAAACCAGCTAGATCCCTACCCAGGAAGCGAGCAAGGGGACGCGTTACTTGTTCTCGCTCTCTCCTACGGCAGGAGCCCCAGTAAATACTTGCTTACGTTTCTGTGGGTGTGTGCTCAGCAGCTTCAGTCATGCCCACTCTTGGTGACCCTGTGGATACATACACACGACTATATACAATAGGCAACCAGCAAGGGCCTGCTCTGTAGCTCAGGGAAGTACACGCGATGCTTTGCAATGACCTATAACAGAAGAGGATCTGAAAAACATGCATGTGTATAACTGATCACTGCTGGACGCCTAGAACTAACACAGCTTTGTGAATCAACTAAACTCCAACTTAAAAGCAAAAAAGACCATACCCTTATTTTGGCACTGGGCTTGGCCCAGAGTAAAGAAATAAATAAACATGAACAATTGAAAAATTTCTAGTAAGTCTTCCATTGAAAACTCTGAAGACCAGTTAATGAAAAAGCTACTTCCCTGCTTGACAAAGCTAGCTGCCCTGGGATCAGTCCCTTTATGACAGGATGAGGAATGCCCACTTGGCCCCATTCCCTACCAGCACAATTACATTCTTTCAGACTGCCTTTCTGGCCCTTGAAGGTGTTTGCATTTTCAACTGTTGCTCTCATATATTTTTATCTTATGTATCTGCTTCTTGCCTAGAGTTTACCATAAAGTTGGGAGAAGAACAACAAGAAGCATAGCAATAAAAAGAAGTTATTCTTAAAGTAGCTGAGATTATGTTTCTGAGGCTTGCACTTAATCTAGATTAAGCAAGGTGTTTAAGAATTAGAACAATGCCTCTAATTCTAAAAAAAAAAAAAATTCAAACATACTGTATGCTAGAAACTGTATAATTAACTCATTTAATATTCATTGGGATAGAAGAAATTCTTCATATTATTCACATTACAGAGTTGAGGAAACTTAGTGACAGAGAAATTGCTTTGGCCAAAGTCAAGAATCAATTCCAGAGCCAGGAGTCAGACTGGGACCTCTTGACCTTCAACGCCTGGATACCTTCAAAGCCCTAAAAATCCTAA